ATTTTTTCGCTCAACTTAGTGACAAAGTACAAACGTGCAAAATCCCTAACAAATCATGACTACATCATCCCTTTATAACCGGAAACAGTGCCATTGGGATGATATATATACACCGAAAAAGCTATCGAAGAAAACAAAAAAAAAACATCGCACAACAAAAACAAAACAAACGTAGAACAACAACAACAAGTCAGCAAATATACAAAGCAAACAAACGTTCAAAATCAAAGGAAAAAATCAAAGCCCAAATTAAAATGATCGGTAAGTTATGGTAAGTTATGGTATTCAATCGACTCCTGAATCTGCAAATTTCTGGTAAGTTGTAGATCAGATAACGGCAAGTTATGGTGTTCAATCGACCAAATTAAAATGATCGGTGGTGACTCCATCACATGAAATTAAGTTGAAACTCGATTCTGGGGACTTAGGTAAGAGAGTCAAGCCAAAACAATTCTCGGTTGCCTTCCTAAGCGAAAGTTGTAAGTTTGGACTATAATTTATCTTTTTTATCCTTGTTATTTACCTTCGATTATTATTTTTTCCAAAAAAAAATAGTTGGACTGACTATTTTCTAATGATTTCAGCTTTTTTAAAATCATTAATCTCAGGCTCTATTCCCGAGCTCCAAACCATTTTTTTAAGTGAGGACGAAAGCGACACCTTTTGGGAATTTATTATCCGTATAGGCCTAGCAAGTAACCTTCGGGATTCATATACCTTATGTCTTCGTGTGAATTTATTCTCCGTACGGACATAAGGGAATGTATCCTCTCGAGTTTAACTTGGACCACATGAGTCTGTGATGAGCTTAGGACTGAGGTTCTGGCAAGCCCAAGGGGGCACCGGTAAGGAGAACTCAAGTACCTCTTTTAGAACCAAACTGTGATACTGCAAGAAATTAGATCCCACCCAAAACTTCATTTAAAACCTAGGATGTTTGATTTATTTCCTATCTTATTTTAATGTTCAAAGCATGCGAATTAAAAATACATGAGGTTAGGATTTGTTCAAAAAATAGCATACGAGATAGAGATCATGTCTAAGTAGGAGCAAAATGCATGTGGGGTAGGAATTTTTGTGCTCATTAATATTCTGATTATTATTCCTATTTTACTAAATTTTTTCTTTCATTTTTTTCTTTTTATTTTCTTTTTATCATTTGCATCATTTAAAGATGTGTTGATCAACAAAGTGTTCGTTAAAACTTGAATAGTTTGCATTAATGGACAAAGGGTTTATAATGCAAGAGGTAAAAAATACAAAAGTATGGTTATGGTCATAAAAGACTCAGAAAGGAAAAGGGGACAGTCTGCAAGATAACCATGTGTCAAACCTGGCTGGCTACGCTTCCATCAACCTCAAACAAAATGATACTTAGGAGTTACGAAACATTTGGGAAAGTTGGAAAAATAAGAGGAAACAGAGGCTTTGCCAGCATACGGTGATATCGCACACCTGCTCTATGTCAAAATAGATGAACCTCTGATTCGAGCCTTAGTGTAATTTTTGAATCCAGGATACAGCTGCTTTACATTCAACCAAGAAGACATAGTACCCACAATTGAAGAGTACACTACCCTTTTACATTGTGAGGGAATCAGAATGGACCGGGTCTTCATCAAATACATTAAAAGTCAGCCTTTCAAGAATGGGTTGGCAAAGGTTGCAGGAGTTAATGAAAAGTGGGTAATTGACCGAATTCAACATAAAGGCAACATGAGCAAGATAGTAAAACTATAGCAGAATTGGAGAGCATTATGGACAAGTTCAAGAAACAGACAAATGAACTCCAAATAGTTCCTTTTGATAGAGGACTCCAGTGGCATTTACGTTGGGAACATGCTCAGCAAAGGGTGAAGGCTAGGGACGCAGTCATTCAGGATTTCTTATAGCGGGTACAGAAAGCAGCCCGTCACTTGTATGGTTTGGCAAGAGAAGTCGGGGTGGTTCGATAAGGCATTCAAACAATGACAGATGAAGCAAGAAGACTTGTCAACCTATTAGAAGTCGTTCGGTGTCTAGAAGATCTAGCTAGAATGTACATTTGAATTGTTTTTAGTCTCTTAAAAATAACACTTTTGTCTCAATAAAGACTATTTATTATAACAAACACGTTTTGGATCAATGCCTCGGAAATTTCATGCATCTTGCATTTTTACATATTTTGCATTTTCATTTCTTTACATTCAAATTAACTAACAGAAAATATCTCATCAAACTAAGGAATAAGCACTGGACACACCTCATCCTCACAATATTCGCTCAAAGAAGAAGAAAATAGAAGCTAAGATTGCTTAACTTGAGGAAAATATGTTGGGAATGCAAAGAGAACTTGAGGATAAAATTAGTCAGAATCATCAAAATACCTTGGATTCTATCACTAGGAACCAAGATTCATTGGTTGACCAGATTGTTGCAAGGTTGTCTAGCCTGAATCATATGAATGCTCCTAGGGCAGGGGCATCTGAAGGGGTGGTTGTACTACCTACTCTACAGTTAGTTATTTCACCTGGAATCTTACTAGGACTTCAAGGGGACTCATCTGCTGTAAAAGCACAAGCTTTTGTAACCAAACCTCAAAATAATCTAGATGATTACCTTGTTCTAGATTTTGATGAGGAAGACAAATCAAAGAAGATGGAGGAAAAGATCAAGCATTTGGAATATCAAATGAAGACAGTTAAAGGAGAGAACATCTATTACGGAGTTGATGCTCTGAAACTAAGTTTGGTCCCGAATTTGATCCCTCCTAAGTTTAAAGTCCCAAATTTCAAAAAGTTTGATGAGAACAATTGCCCCTCGGCTCACATTACCATGTTCTATCGAAAGATAACAGGATATGTCGGGAATGACCAGCTCTTGATTCATTGTTTCCAAGAGAGTCTAGCGGGTTCAGCCATCTTGTGGTATAATCAGTTAAATCGTTCTCACATCAGGACATGGAAAGATCTTTCCAAATCATTCTTGGAACAATACAAACATGTAAATGACATGAGACTAGATCGTGTTATGTTGTAAAGTATGGAGAAAAAGTGTAACGAAAGTTTCAGGCAATATGCATAGTGATGGAGGGATTTAGCTGTGCAGATTACACCGAAAAAGTGTTACAATCTCTAAATCAAAGCCAATTGCAGCTATACCGTCAGGTGCTTCTAGACAAGATTTGAGGGAACCAATGAAAGAAAGAGAAAAATGAACATTTTCCTATTACTTATAAAGAACTTTATTAGCAATTTTTCGACACACATGTGGTGTCACTATACCTAGTAGAACCTCTAAAACCTCCATACCTCTGGTGGTATGATGAAAATGCATATTGTGAATATCATGGTAGTGTCCCGGGGCATGCTATTGAAAATTGTCTCGCCTTTAAGAGGATTGTTCAAAGGATGCGTAACAAGAACTTGATTCATTTCAATAACTCAGAGACACCCAATGTTGCACAAAATCCTTTGCCTAATCACCAACAGACTAGGATTAATACAATTACTGAGGAAAATGGCAAGAAGGTTAAAACCAAAGTTTCCGAAGTGAAGTCTCATTTGGCTTGGATGTGGAGGCAAATGATAAATGCGGGGTTTCTTGCATCGCATCCTAGCACATCAAATTGCAAAGGTGGCAGTCATTGTTGTTATCACAATGAGGATAAACATTATGTATAAGAATGTGTCGAATTTAGAGCCTTGATCCAACTAATAATGGATAGAAAGTAGCTACAATTTTACGAGGAAAGTAAGGACACTCCAGAGGCGGATGTTTATACAATTGGAGATGCATCTAAAAAGGGATACGGTGCGAGCTACCCCTTGATAATTACCTCAAAGGAAAATATGACAGACTAAGTACCGGCTAAAGTGTTATCACAATGAGGATAACATTATGTATAAGAATGTGTCGAATTTAGAGCCTTGATCCAACTAATAATGGATAGAAAGTAGCTACAATTTTACGAGGAAAGTAAGGACACTCCAGAGGCGGATGTTTATACAATTGGAGATGCATCTAAAAAGGGATACGGTGCGAGCTACCCCTTGATAATTACCTCAAAGGAAAATATGACAGACTAAGTACCGGCTAAAGTGGTGATAATGGCACTAAGACCTTTTCCTTACAAAGATAGTAAGCAAGTACCCTAAAAGTATGAATGCCAAGTAAGTGCTATAAAAGAAGATGTAAATGACATGGGACATTCTACTAGAAGCGGGAGGTGCTACCCCTAGAGGTCTAACCTACCCTAGAGGACACTTGAGCCATTTAAAGGAAAATGAACCAACAATTAATGAGCCAATAAAAGAAGAAAAAGTTGTGGTGTTCTTGAAGTTTTTAAAACACATTGAATACATTGTTGTGGAGCAGTTACAAAGCTTGCAAGCTTGCATCTCAATGTTGGCTTTACTACTAAATTCGGAGGCACACATGAAGGCACTACTAAAAGTCTTGAATCAAACGTTCATGCCAAAGGACGTATCATTCAATAAGTTGGATTGACTGGTTAATAACATTTAAGCTGATAATCTTATCTCATTTTCTGATGAGATTTTGTCCGAGAAAAAGGTCAGGCCAAAGCATTACACATTATCACTCATTCTAAGGGGTATACTTTACGAAGTGTACTAATCGACAATGATTTCACCCTTAATGTAATGTCTTTAGTCACTCTTAAACTACCAATGAATACTTCCCACATGAGAACATGCCAAAATGTGATTTGAACATTTGATGAGACAAAAAGAGAGGTGCTTCGCAAAATTGAAGTACCACTAACTATTGGGCCTACCACTTACAACATAGAGTTCCTAGTAATGGATATTATGACTTTGTACAACTACCTTTTAGGATTGTAGATGCTCATTTTTGTCCGAGGGGTTTCGTTTGAGTTTTAAATATATAAAGACATTTATTATTGTTTTCTTATATATTAGTTATATATAGGTTAACATATAAATATATATAGAGTATAAAATAATCATTTAATTTCTTATTTTATTTTACAAATCCAGTACAAGATACAAATTTGGATCAATGGGAGCCCAAGTCAGCCCAAAACAACAGTATTATCATCCAAGCCTCCAGTCCACATGAAGCCCTGCAAAACAAAAACAGTTATGAGAGGTTAACAAGCGTGAAAAAGGGGTCCATTATCATCAGCAGAGGGGAAGGAGCACAAAAAGATGAGGGATATTGGAGAAAAGGGGAAACGAAAAAAAAGGGTCGGTTTTAATTGGCAATTAACCACTGGAGCTGGAACGGAAAAAAAGGGAAGGAGAGAGCATTTTGCAAGGACAGGGAGAAAACAACTATAAACAGAGGGAAACAATTGTAACTGAAATGTAGGGGGGCTCTTTCCTGAAAATTACAGTGTAAATCAATGCTAGAACAATGAGAGTGTAATCCACCATTCAAAAACAAGAGAAAGCAACAGAAATACAAGTATTTTCGAGGTACTCTTCTGGGATTTCTTTTTGTTTTCCAATTTCTTTGTGTATGCGCTTATGTTATTTCGAAAAAAACAGAATAGGATAATCTCTAGATTTTGATTTTATTTACTTAGATAATTTGATTATGAAAAAGCTAAGGTTCCTATAAAGATTATAATTGATTGGTAATGGGAGGTTTTCCCTCATTTTTATTGGAAGCAATACATAGAAAAACACTAAACATTACTTTCATTTTTAGTCCTTCGAAACAACACACAAAAACAGAGCATTTTCAAGAGCATTTCTAGAGAAGAACCAAACTAAAAGGGAAAAAGGGTTAGGCGTATACCTAGTCTGTTCGAGTGTCACTATAGGAGATAACCAAGCTGTCGGTGACAGGAGGCAGTAGAGAGGCCGGGTTTCCATAGGTTTAGAAAATCTGTGCATGTAGATTTTCGTAAGGCAATAAAAAAGGGAAAAATGAGTTTTTTTAATCGAACTACAACCATTAAAAATACCAGAGAACTCAGTTAAAAAATCGAAAGGGAAAATTAGAGAGAGAAAGCGAGGTTACCTTAGTTGTTTGAGTCCATCACCGAAAAAAAGGAATGTCGTTCACCGTAAGTTGAGGAGTTGAGGCCCGTCGGACGCTCGCTTAAGAGGGGGTTGTGTCAGTTTCATTTCCTCCCGGGTTTGGGTTAGAAGAAGAAGGAGAGAGCTTAGGTTTTGTTTTAGGGCTAGATTAGAGTTCGACCGACCACCGTTGGTGATAGTCGGAGAGGCAAGAACGCCGATTTACGGCATGGTGGGTTTGGTCTTTAGCGTGAGAGATCGTGAAACTGAGAGAAGGGTTGAAGAGATGGTTTTCGAAGGGTAAGAAATAGAAAGAAGTTGGGTTTAGGCTCGGTTCGGGGTCGGTTCTAACTGGTTCGCCCTTCGCGATCGGAGTGTTTGGTGACCAACCGGCGGCGATGAGAGCTTTCAAGCTTCTCGGCCGAGGAGACGAGTAGAGAGGAGAGTTTAAGAGGGAGATGAGAAATGTGGTTGAGGGTTAAGGTTAATCTAAGGTAAGTTTTATATTAGGTTATTAGGGTTAATTGCTTTAGGATCACTGTACATTTGCCGTTTATTTATACATTAGTCACTGTTTTTACCTTTTACGTTATTTACGTTTTGTTTTGTCCTGATTGTGTAAATTTCTCATTTAAATTTCTTCCTGTTTTCATGTTCTGATCCCTATCATATTTTTTATTTATTTATACTTAATTTTGATTTATGCCAATTTGGTCAACATGTTGAGTTGTTTCATTTTATTAAAATTAAGTCCTTGAGTTATTCTGTTGGTTTTAATTTAGTCCCTTGTTAATTAATTGCTTTCTTTAATTATTTGCATATATTTGTTTTTGCATGTTGATAAGTTTATACGTGTACTTGTATGTGAATGATCTATTTATGAAACACATGACATCATTTGTTGTATTATATGTATGTTAACCTCATATGTATAATTTGACTCTTATCACATAATTGAATTAAGGGGAATACTTTTTAATTTAAAATTGTTTAAATGGCTTGTCTTAACTCACTATAGAGCCGTTTTAGATGATTTTAAATTAAAAGTGTATCCCATCAGTGACACCTAAAAATTTTGATTCATCACTTTAAAATTTGGGAATAAAAGAAAAAGAAATGTTCGACTATTTAAATTTGTCAAGAAAAGGTTGTTAGAACACATCTAAAATATGGTCTCGATATTTTTAAATAATCGAATATTCTTTATCTTTCTAATGTCTTGGTAATTTTAATTTAATCTATTTTGGTACCTTTGAATGTTGTAAAATTCACATTTTTGTTGTTTTAAGGGATCATAAATCAAATTAAACTCGAATTTGTAAATTTCATTGCAAAGACATTAACTAATCGATTAGGTACCGATTTAGAGCATTGTGGGGGTGATAATCCTTCCCCGCACGTAATCGACTTTCGAACTCATTTTCTGGTAATGTAGACCTAAATTTGTCGTTTTAATTAAAATTATTTTTTATTAAAAATCGCAAAATATTTTTGGGTGCCCAATCACACCCTAATCAAAGATTGGTGGCGACTCTTCGAACCGTATTTTTTATCGTAAAGGAAATCCCAAATTTTTTCGAAACGAGAGGTTTTTTAAATCATTTTTTTAATTAAAAATTAACCAAAAGAGAATGAATTAAAAATGATGTGTTTTTTTAAATCTCACTTTTTAAGAAAAAATCGTTTCGACAAGGAAGGCCAAGGATTCATCAAGCTGGGTCAGTACCATCAACATTCCACCAGAAAGAAAAGTTTGTTATTGACGGGACTCTTATAATCATCAATGCTAAAGAAAACATAATGGCAAGCGTGACCACCGATGTCCCGTACATTAATATAGACAAGGAAGCTGTGGAATGTTCGTTTCGCTTATTGGAGTTTGTCAATGCCACATTCGTAGCTGAAGCAAGTAAGATTTCCAAACCAATATTTTCAGAATGCACCAAGATGGAAATTAAGCAAATCTTGGAAAGAGGTGTAAGGATATAGAGAGGGTTCATGAGCTATCTATAAAGAAGAATCAACCCTATTTTCCCTATTGCCAAGCTTGATCATTTTGGGTTGGGTTATAAACCCAATCATTAATAAAAAAAAGGAAGGAAATTCATAGGTGCCAAGAAAGAATGATGGCAAGATTAATTGGAGAAGAGGTTTAATGGGAACCAATGGTTTTTCCTCCTCTTCACGACACATTCGTGTCTAGCGGTTATGTGTTTGAGGCAGAAGAAATGATGGTCTTACCTAATCTAAAGAAAGCTTTGAAAGACTTGAGTATCAATGCAATAACAACAGATGACGCTGAGGATATTGATAGATCTGGAATCCATCCATTATTGACAAGGTTCCTGTTTAACAACTGAACTGCTGAAGAACTACATGTGGTTTTCAAATCTCTTTCAGAGTAATACTCAAACTTTCCCTATTTGCCTATACCTGGGTTGATGAACTATTTTTTATTTATATTTCAATACAATATGTAATTTTCCTTTCTGGCAAACATTTTTTTCCTTTTACTCTTTTTTCATATATATAATACATTTGTTTTTACGTTCTATATGGGATATTTTCCTCTCGCATATATATATTTTTCCCTTATTTTCCTTTCAGGTCTTTAGATGTTAATGATGTTGATAATGATGATTCTTCCCCAGAGATCAATTTTAACCAGCTCAAGTGTCTTGGGGAAATCGATGAATGTGATAATGAAAAAGATTGCAATTTACCTTCCAAATTATTAAGAATGGTGGAAAGATAAGACAAGCAAATATTACCCCCATGAGGAAAAAATTGAAGTTTTGAATTTGGGTACTAAAGAAGATAAGAATGAAGTTAAAATTGGTACAACGCTTTCATCTGAAGCAAGACAAAATTTAATAAACTTACTCTATGAGGACAAAGACGTGTTTTTATGGTCGTACCAAGATATGTCTGGACTAGACATAGATATGGTAGTTCATAAATTACCAATCAAGGCAGAATACAAACCCGTACAGCAAAAACTAAAGAGGATGGGGCCTGAAATGCACCTTAAGATAAAAAAAGAAGTCAATAAGCATTTTGATGCTGGCTTTCTCCAGGTAGCCAAGTATCCAGAGTGGGTGGCTAACGTAGTGTCGGTGCCAAAGAAAGATGGAAAAGTGTGCATGTGCGTTGACTATAGAGATCTCAACAGAGCAAGCTCTAAAGACTATTTTTCGTTGCTGCACATAGATACCCTAGTGGATAACATAACTGGAAATTATTTCTTCTCGTTCATGGATGGTTTATTGGGATACAACCATATTAAAATTCATTCCGATAACATGGAAAATACTATATTTGTCACAATGTGGGGAGCATTTTGCTATAAGGTGATACCCTTCGGACTAAATAATGTTAGGGCAATATACCAAAGAGCCATGATGAACTTGTTTCATGACATGATACATAAGGAGATTGAAGTCTATATTGATGATATGATTATCAAAGCCCAAACTGAAGATGAACACATCGAAAATCTAAGGAATATTTTTTGAAAAATGAGGAAGTTTCAATTGAAGCTGAATCCAAACAAGTGTATATTCGGAGTAACTTCTGGAAAGTTGTTGGGTTTCGTTATTAGTAAAAGAGGCGTCGAGATTGATCTAGATAAAGTCCAATCCATCCAGAATTTGTCGCCCCCACATACACAAAAAGAAGTTCGAGGTTTTTTTGGTAGATTGAGCTATATTGCTCAGTTCATATCTTAGTTGACAGATAAGTGCGACCCAATTTTTCGTCTCCTTAGAAAGAAAAGTTCTGGAACATGGGATGATGACTGCCAAATTGCATTCGAAAAAGTAAAAGAGTATTTGTCTCATACTCCAATTCTAATGTTGCCAATTCCAGTAAAAAGATTATTTCATTACATATCAATCTTTGAGAATTCAATGGGATGTGTCTTGGGATAACATGATGAGATTGGAAGAAAGAAAAGAGTTATTTACTACCTTAGCAAGAAGTTTACTGATTACGAGGCCAGATATCCACCAATTGAAAAAGTTTGATGTGCTTTAGGCTTGGCTACACGAAGACGTAGGCAATACATGTTATACCATACTACTTGGTTAATTTCAAAGTTGGATCTATTAAAGTTCATGATAGGTGTACCAGCTCTCTCGGGAAAGTTAGCCCGATAGAAGATGCTTTTATCAAAATTCGACATTTAGTACGTGAGTCAAAAGGTTATAAAGGGAAGTGTTATATCAGACTTTCTAGCAAGAAGAGCTTCCGAAAACTATGAACAACTGAACTTTGATTTCCCAGATGAAGATTTGATGGCCATATATTTAGAAGAGGCTAGTACTTCCATATGCGATTCCTGGAAGATGTACTTTGATGGTGCATCGAATGTGTTGGGGCACGTTATTGGGGCTATCTTGATCTCACCCATAAGAAACTATTACCCGTTCATTAGCAGATTGAATTTTGATTGTACCAACAACATGGCATAGTATGAAGCTTGTGTTTTACGGATTTGAGCTTCTATTGGACAGAACATAAAGACTTTAAGGGTGTATGGGGATTCTACCTTAGTGATTTATCAGCTCCGAGGATAATGGGAAACAAAAGATACCAAACTGGTAGAGTATAGAAAGCTCATATGCCTTCTTCAGGCGGCGTCAGCTCCTACGCAAAGTAGCTTGCCGTGGCATCTCGGATTGTGTCTCATTCGTTGACTCAGTGGGCTGCGAAATGAGCTCCATGAAGGCTATTGTCACATCCTCATCCCGTCACTTGATATAGGCAAAGAAGGTCACCAGGTTGCTGGTCGGATTCGCCACTTGATCTTGGGTCTACTTGGCCAAAAGTATTGCAATTTGCCGTGGCATTTGTGTATATAGGTGGACATCATCAGCAATGTCATCGTTTGTGCCAACACCAATTGAGTCTTCTTTCTAAGTGGGTGCAGCTACTATAGGGCCTTTACCCTTGTCCACATGTTTGAGAGTCTGTGCTTTCCAAAACATCTCAAATTGTTATGGCATTTTTGTCTCGTTCGATTGGAGCACCAGTGTAGACCAAAATGCCCCACACATATAATAGTTCTGCCTTCAAAATTGTTTTCCAAAGCATTTCGTGTCTTTCACATCTGATTTTTAGGACCTTTGCAGTAGTTCTCTCTTCTTCAAAATGCTCTTTTCCTGAAGCTGAATGGTAGTGGAATGAGATCTCTTTTTGCTCATTTCTGTTATGGCAACTTGAAATCATTTGGGCAACAAATTCGTTGGAGAGGTCGAGGTCATCCTTATGCCAGTAGCCACCATCGTGTATGACCTTGTTCTTTCCTATGCTAGTCAAGTAATAAAGCAAAACAACACTAACGAGAAAATTGAAAATGTTAGCATGCCACAAAATTGCCACGACAAATAATAATTTCTCATTATAGAATTTTTTCTTAATCTCTATTTCATTCGTTAGTTCTTTCACAATTTCTAGCCTAGAAAAATAAGCAGCTAGTTGGGGTTTAGGATTAGTAAATTCAATAGGATTCAAAGGTTCAAATTTCATACTCGGTCTAGTTATAGGTGATCTAGACTTACTCATCTCCTTTGGAATATCCTCGAGCTCCTTCAAGTGATTATCAGTGCATAAAAATTTGTTGTGGCAAAATTTTGCAGCTTTCCTTTGGTCATCAACTCCTACTGATGGGGGCTTTTCTTTTGCCGTGGTAAAATTTTTCTTATCTTCATTGGCTGCACTCTTCGAACCCTCATCATTGTTTTCTAGTAAATCTTCTTGCACATTCGGATCTTCATGCACAATCTCATGACCAGGCTCTCCGAGTGTCTCTCCCCCAAACTTAACATCTTTGTAGATTTTCATTCCACTCCTTAAGGTGAATGTACCACAATGCTCTCTGTCTTGAGCCTTAGTGACTTCAGTATCACTAGGTAGACTGCCATGTGGGCAAAAATGTAATGTCGTGGCAATTCGGCCAACCTAACCCTCCAAGGCCCTCAAAGATGAGTTGTGACTTTGAAGCAAAGCTTCTTGGCTTTTTATAGAGGTCGCATGGTCATGCAGCATGGTCTTCGTTGTTGCGATAAAATCTTGCATCGTGGCCTCCAAAGAGCTTGTGTTAGATGAAGATGGTACTCCCTCGTTAGAATTATGACATGGCATATTCGTTTGAAAACCCTGGGAGTCACTGAAGTTCTGCTGCCTAGAGAGCTGACTAGAGTTGCTGGTTCTTTGATTTCCCCACAAAAAGTTTGGATGTTGACGCCATCCAGGATTATATGTGTTAGAATAGGGGTTGTTGTTACCTCGATTGTAGTTGCGCACATAGTTGATGGATTCTTGGTTGATCGGGCACTCACTCTCATTGTGATTGCCGTGGCATAATAAACATGTTGAATTGGCTGCCTTCACTTCTCTCACCTCACTTGGCCTTTGTAAGTTCTTCAACATATTGGTGATAGAAGCAAGTTGGGCGGACACCGAATCCTTAGAATATAGCTCGAAAGCTCCATGTGATTTTCGCCCAAGGCCAAGCCTTGTAGATGAAAATTGGTAATCGTTGGTGGCAATCCTATCCATAATGTCAAATGCCTCTACTGGTGATTGCTCAAGTAATTTCCCATTTGCCGAGGCATCTAGCATCATCCTCGTGGGTGCATTAACTCCATTGTAGAACATCACAACTTGAGTCCAGTCGTGGAATCCATGATTGGGGCACTTGTGAAGCAAACTTTTGTATCGATCCCAGCACTCATACATAGACTCTTCATCATCTTGGTGAAATGATGCTATGGCATTTCTAAGATGGTTGTTCATATCGGGTTGATTATGCCATAGCAAAAATTTTTTGCACAAGTCAGCCCAAGACTTTATCGAGCCGGAAGTAATTTATTGAGCCATGCCTTGGCGTAATCTTTCAAAGAATATGAAAATAACTTCAATTTTAGTACATCTTCATGCACACCTTGTTGTCGAAAGTAGTCACAAACCTCTAAAAATGCCCGAACATGTTGCCTTGCATCCTCATGAGGAGCACCACCAAACTGTCCAATAAAGTCCAACATGTCGAACATAACCGATTTGAGCTCGACGTGGGTTGCCTGAATCATGGGTGCCACAATTCCAGGATGTAGGTCGTCCATGATAGGGTTTAAATGATCTCGAATAGTACAAGGCCTAGATGCATTCCCAATATTTGGAATTGCCTCGACATTCTGATCTTCAACTTGACTCATTTCTTGATTTCCAATTTGGTACATCTTTGCTTGAGCACGTTGAGTACGTAAAATAAAAGCCTGAAAAAGACAAGGAAAATAACAAGTAAAACTATACAAAAAAAATTGAACAAGTAAAATAAAAATGCAATGACAAAACTAATTAACTTCCAATTGCCAATTCCCCGACAACGGTGCCAAAAACTTATTCGCTATTTTTGAGTACTAAATATGGGTGCGGATATGTGTGCAAGTATACACAATCGAACAAGTAATAAAGTGATAAGTAGAGTATCGTCTCCACAGGGAAATGGAGAAATCAAATAGGTTTGTCAAGGCACATTACTATGCCACCTAAGTAAAGTTAGTGATGGTATATACAAATGATAATGTTGTGGCAAAATGGAATGAATGATGTGGAAATGTAATGATGGTGGTGTGATAGTAATTGGATATGTCGTGGCAAATGAAATTATAAAACGTGCAAGTAAAATGGAAATGTCAAGGCAAAATAAAAATACAAATATTGGATTTAATTTATAGGACTTTAGCTTTCTCACACAACTAGCAGCAATGGGAATGAACAATGGGAGTCACTAGGAAAACCTAAGTTTATTTCTCACAATGTGGTATTTCCTTTATGCTTAACCTGCCCGATAGAGTCTACTAAAGTTCCCTCAGCTATCTCTTGGAAGGGACTCGATAGATTAAAGATTCCCTGGCAAATACGATTGGCGTAAACCTCTACAGTGATCCTATTGATTCAGATAACAGGATATGTCTTGGCAATACCTTTTTGCGGTAGCATTAACATCTAACCTATTGGTTATGCTCTACTCCTTTTAGTCGAATGAAATCATATTCTTATCTTTAAGATGGATTAGACCTAGTTACTGTCTAGAACTCCTTTATTTATGTAGTTTCTCCCTAGCTTCTCTCGAAGACTAAAGATATTTTTTCTAGGTATTCTCTCGAACCCTAAACACCTTCTAAGGAAAGGCTACTCTCGTAGCTCCTATAACCTCAAAGCATTAAGTTTCATAAACAAAGCAGATTAAAACATAATAAAACAATCATTCATTGAAAATAAAACTTAGACATCTAAGTGAACTCCCACCAAATAGGATTAGTTCATGGAGGGGTTCGAAATAAACAAGTTCAAGACAAGTTCCATTCGTTCCTTATAACCCAACGACAAAATATGAAAGCAAAGAATTAAGGGGAGGAGAGAAAGCCTTCGACGTGCACTGCTCAATGCTCCTCTCGGCCACCAAGAACTGCTCCCAACGGACTGGCTCCTCTCGGATGCTCAGAACGCCACTCCCTTCTGCTAGTCAAGGAGAAATGCAACGGCAAGATGGATTGATTGAGAGAGGTGAGACCTTCTCACTCTAACTTTTTAAGCTCAAACCAGTGTGTAACTAAAGTCCTCAACAATGTGGTTTTATCATCTATTTATAGGGGGAAACTAATCCTAGGACTTGGTGTTAACTTTCCTAGAAAACCCCAAAACCATGGGTGAGTTACTTGAGAGTCGAGCAGGACAGGCTATGATACAGCCTGGGTAGCTGGCTGAGTGCCTCAGCATAATCCCATTGCAGGCACCCAAGGACAGACAAGATCTACAGGGTCAGGCGGCGTCATCAGTAGGACCGGCGGTTACAGAGATAATCCCTCCAAGCGGATCTTCGAGGTGGATTTCTCGGGCAGAGCTCTCGGGAAGTCGGAGACAGCTGGCTTAAAAAATATCTTCTCACACTTAAAGCGCTTTCGAAATGCCAGTAGAACTTGGCAATTGTATTTTTCTCAGCAATCTCCTTATGTCACGATATTTCCTTTCCGCTTTTCCCTTGCTTTCAATTCCTACACAACATTAGACAAACACCTTCCCCATAAGTTAGCACTGATGAAAAATTAAAATGCCAGCAAACCGATTCCGTTAGCAGCTCGTCGAGAAATAGTAAATTGAAATTTGACGATGTTCGGGATATGGTACTGAGCGAAAAAATTCGACGGAAAGAATCGGGTGAAGCATCAACCTCCTCAGCCTTGCACACGGAGTCCAGAGGGAGAACTTCATAAAGAAATTCAAATCGTGGCAGATCCAAATCCAGAAGGGGAAAATCAAGAATGAAAAAAAAACGATTTTACCTGTTATAACTGCCAGAAGGGGAAAATCAAGAATGAAAAAAAAACGATTTTACCTGTTATAACTGCTATAAGAAGGGTCACTTTAAAAGAGATTGTCGAGCACCGAAGAAAAATACCGGCGCACATGAATCTACCAACGTGACAGAGAAGACAGGTGATGCCATGATTCTAAGCGTCAACAGTCTGATTGAATCATGGATCTTGGATTCAGGGTCATCTTTCCACTCTACCCCATGCCGAGAAATCATGGAAGACTATGTCAGTGGTGATTTTGAAAATGTTCATCTAGCTGATGATGAAACCTTGAAGATCGTCGGAAAAGGAGACATCCGATTAAAGCTGCCAAACCAGACCACCTGGACGCTGAAAGGAGTGAGACATATTCCTGGCCTCAAAAGAAATTTGATTTCTGTAGGACAACTTGATGGAGAAGGTTATAATACAACATTTTCAAGCTGTGAATGGAAGATTACCAAAGGAGCACTCGTCATTGCTCGTGGTAAGAAGACTGGTACTCTAGTAACCTCAAATTAGAGAATCATTGCAGTAGCAGATGCTGATGGAAAATCAAACCTATGGCACCAAAGGCTTGGTCATATGAGCGAGAAAGGGATGAAGACACTTTTGTCAAAAGGGAAGCTGTCGGATCTAAAGAATGTGAAGATTATATCTTTGACAAACAAAAGAAAGTCAGTTTTGCAAAGATTGACAAGACAACCAAGGCAGAAAAGTTAGAGTTGGTTCATACTGATGTATGGGGACCATCTCCAGTTACATCTCTTGCAGGCTCATTATATTATGTCACATTCATCGATGATTCAACAAGGAAGGTGTGGCTTTATTTTCTGAAGAAGAAATCAGAAGTCTTTGATACCTTCAGAAAATGGAAGGCCATGGTGGAAAATGAGACTCGTTTGAAAATCAAGCTGTTGAGGTCTGACAATGGAGGAGAGTACAGAAACAGTAGATTCAGAGATTTCTGTACAAACAATGGGATCAAGATGGAGACAACAGTTCCCATGACACCGCAGCAGAATAGCATAGCAGAGCGCATGAACAAAACTCTGAATGAACATGCCAAAAGCATGAGGATACATGCCGGATTGCCCAAATTTCTATGGGCTGAAGCTATCAACACTGCAACTTACCTGATCAACTGTAAGCCCTCAGTTCCTTTGGATGGAAGAATACCAAAGGAAGTTTGGAGCAAAAAAGAAATAAACCTTTCACACTTAAGAATGTTTGGTTGTATTTCTTATGTACACATAGACTCTGCTGAAAGAAGTAAACTTGATGCTAAGTCCAACAAATGTGCCTTTGTTGGTTATGGCGGTGATGAGTTCGGTTATCGGTTTTGAGACTATGAAAATCGGAAGATCATCAGAAACATAGATATCATTTTCAATGAGAATGTGATGTACAAAGGCAAGGCAACTATAGAATCAAGTAGCTCAAATACCAAAGCTGAAACAAAGAAATTTGCTGAATTTGCTGAGTTTGAGGAGATTTTTGAAAATGATGTTCAGATCAATCCTGAAGCAGTTCAAGAAGAACCACGCATACCAGAACTGAGACGCTCATCCAGAATTCCTAAACCAACCTAGCGTTATTCGCCTTCTTTGCACTACTTGTTGCTGACTGACAATGGTGAACCAGAGTGCTATGATGAAGCAATGCAGGTGGAGGATTCAGTCAAGTTGGAGTCTTCCATGAAAGATGAGATGGACTCTCTTATGTCAAATCAGACATGGCAATTAGCTAAATTACCACCAGGCAAGAAAGCGCTCCACAACAAGTGGATTTACAGGATCAAAGAAGAGCACGATGGGAGCAAACGCTACAAAGCGAGATTGGTTGTCAAAGGTTTTCAACAAAAATAAGGTATTGACTACAATGAAATTTTCTCTCCAGTCGTGAAACTGTCTACAATCAGACTGGTGTTGAAAATTGTAGCTGTAGAAAATCTACATCTTGAGCAGTTAGATGTAAAGACAGCTTTCCTTCATGGTGATTTGGAGGAAGAAATCTATATGAGGCAACCATAAAGCTTCATAGAGGCATGCAAGAAAAACCTGGTATGCAGGTTGAAGAAAAGCTTGTATTGTTTAAAACAAGCTCCTAGACAGTGGTACAAGAAGTTCGATAGTTTCATGGGTAACAATGGTTTTACCAGATGCCAAGCAGATCATTGTTGCTATATCAAGAAGTTCGACAACATCTTTATTATTTTATTGTTGTATGTTAATGACATGCTTGTTGCAAGTTCATACATGCAAGAGATTATAAACTTGAAGCAAAAATTGTCAAAACAGTTTGCTATGAAGGATCTGGGTGTTGCAAAGCATATTCTTGGAATGAGGATCAAGAAAGACACAAAGTCGGGGACTTTGATGTTATCACAGGCTGAGTACATTAACAAAGTACTCTCCAGGTTCAACATGCAAGATGCTAAACCATTAAGTACACCTTTAGGTGTTCATTTTAGACTCTCCAAAGAACAGTCACCAAAGACGGAGGAAGAACGCGCACACATAGTGAAGGTACTGTATGCCTCAGCAATTGGAAGTCTGATGTATGCCATGATTTGTACTAGACCAGATATTGCTCATGCAGTGGGAGCTATTAGCAGGTACATGAATAATTCAAGCAAAGTACACTGGGAAGCAGTCAAATAGATCCTTATATATCTGCGGGGTACCACAAACAAAACACTTTGTTTCAAAGGTGGAGATACGATACTGACATGCTATGTAGATGCTGACTTAGCCAAAAATGTTGACATCAGAAGGAGCACTACAGGGTATGTCTATACTCTAGGAGGTACTGCAGTGAGTTGGGTTTCTCAACTACAAAAGATAGTTGCTCTCTCCACAACTGAAGCAGAATATGTCGTTGTTACGGAAGCCAGCAAGGAGATGGTTTAGCTCCAAAGTTTCTTGGAAGAGTTAGGCAAGAAACAAGAAAACAATGTCTTGTATTGCGACAGTCAAAGTGCTATCCATCTAGCAAAAACTTTGTCTTTTCATTCCAGGACGAAGCACATACAATTGCGATATCATTTTATCCGGTCTCTTTTGGAAGATGGGATTTTGAAACTTGAAAAGATTAGTGGAGCTCAAAATCCGACAGACATGTTAACAAAGACGGTGACTACGGACAAATTGAAGTTGTGTTCAGCTTTATTTGACATGCTAGAGTAATAAGACCATAAATGTTGTTGCATTGATCGAGGTGTGAAGACAAATTAAAATCAGTCTTCAAGTGGAAGATTGTTGGAAAGTCAACAAAAGAGGTTTGGGGGGCTTGGTTTTTCAGCAAAGGAAGCACCACAAATACACATTTAAAAAAGGGTGGGCACCGAATTCGATGCCCCAATTGTTTATTGAAATAGAAATAGGGTTAATTATAAGATTAGTCCCTAAACTTCAATTATAAATACCCTAGCCCATTTAGCTTCAAAATTATCCCAAAAATCATTTCTTTCTCACAATACTAGAGAGTTTTCTTGTAAGTAGTGAGTGTTTTGTAAACACTTGTAAATTTTCTCTCTTAGTAAAAGATTTGCAGCAGTCCGGAAACGTAGGCATAATTAGCTGAATTCCGTTATCAATTTGCGTATTATTTTTCCGCTTTTATTTTGCATTCTCATTATTGTAAGTAGTGAGTGTTTTGTAAACACTTGTAAATTTTCTCTCTTAGTAAAAGATTTGCAGCAGTCCCGAAACGTAGGCATAATTAGCTGAATTCCGTTATCAATTTGCGTATTATTTTTCCGCTTTTATTTTGCATTCTCACTAATCTAGTTATAAGGAAATTACTCGTACTCGATTATTTCTTAACATAGGGTTTAGATTATCGTTACCCTTAGGAGATATCTGGTTCTTGCATGCAGAAATCATCTGCAATTTCTTCTTCGATATACACGACAGCTGTACGATTTCTTGACCTTCTTGGTTACTCTTTGTTCCTCTTGGATAGACGGCGATCCTGGCCTCTCCAAAGAATTGTTTACAATCGGTATTTCTCTCGTGTCTTCATCGATAGGTTCTTGTTTGCTTTCTCTCATCGCAGCAAACTCGCATTCAAAGTAAAAAGTCGATATTAACGTATACTAATTTAACTCAACAGTTTTGAGTATATATAGAATATAAGTTTCATAATAAATATCATTTCCTTGAATAATTTAAAAATATTTAATTATTTTTAGTGATGATTTTTTTTATATCTTTATTATTCATCTCATTGAATATATTCAGATTTTATGTTAACTCTTGTAATAATATCGTTTATGAGAATCAAATATAAATTATTTTTTAAGGATGGAAAGTACCTTATAATACATTTGACCTGTTGATATTAATTTTTTTAAAAAAATATAAAATTTTTATTTAAAATTGTTATATATATTAACTATGACGTATATAAATTTTAAAATATAAAAATTTTAAAGTTATAAAAATTTGAATTGAAATTAAAAAAAAATTAATGTATAAATAAGTGCTCAAATTATACCCTAAATTAATTTTAATTATTTAAATAGTTTTTTTATTAAAAAGATGTGTCTAATATTCTTTTATACTTTTAAGTGTCTATGTTGAAACGATTGTTATAAAATATGTGTTGTATTTATAGTTTTTTTAAAAAGTAAAAATATTATTAAAAAACAATTTATTTTTAAAAAAAAACCACATGGATGCTGAACCTCTCCCTTGGCGGCTGAACCATCCCCCTCTCCCCCGGTTGGCGGTGAACCATCCCCCGACTTTATAATGAACGCCCCCAATCCCAATATCCCCGCGCAAAATCTCAAATCCCGTATAATCCCTCCACGCTTGGAAATTTATGAAAATTTTATAGAAATTTCTAATCTTTTTACTACTTTTTTGAATGTCCCTTCCTTGCCTGCATCAATCCATCGCATTTCAATGATAAATTTAGGATTAGAGTTAGAGATTTGTATATTAGATTTAAAGATTTTTGGATTTAAAGAAATTGGGATAACGACGAGAAGGATAATCGGCAATGAAGATCCGATGATGAATGAGTAATTATTCGATAATGACGAAGACAGTCAGTGATATTTGTCATTGACTGATAAACCCTTGTATTTATGATATCTAAAGTGCACAGACTCGAAGTCGAAAAAATGATATGCAGAGACTCCATAAAAGGGGTTGAAAATTTGGTGTAGATAATGTAAATCTGACGCGGTCTTTAAACGGAAAGAACAAAAAGCTAAAGCTGATTCCTTTCACCGCCTTTTTCTCCCTCTCTCCAACGGCGACGGCCACCGAGGCAATCATTTTCCTCCGCCACAACGATCCTCTTCCTCTTTTTTCCGAGTCATTGCATCATCAAATAGAAACAAAAAAAGACGACAGGTGTCGATCGGTTTAGGGTTTAGGCGATCTCTTTCGTTTCCGGATTCTTTCTCACGGAGACTTCCTCTCGCTATTCCCAGGCACTTCATCCGAAGCTTGTTTCCTTTCATTTTTTTGTTACTGATACGAAAACAAATAGGTTATTATGGATTTAGACGGCGGAAACAGGCGCTTCTTTAACCGACTCGGAGGTACATCAGCTGCCCCACCACCCGACTCCTCAAAAAATCAGAAAGTTTGTTATCATTGGAGGGCCGGTAAGTGCAGCCGTTTCCCTTGCCCTTTCCTTCATCGTGAATTGCCTCATCCTTCGGGCCCCACATCCGCCGCTTCTAACGGATCGGGTGCTCCCAAACGTTTCTCCGGTGATTCTGGGTTTTCGGGTCCGACCCCGCGACGAGGCCCCAACTTCAATAATAATCATAATAATAATTGGGGGAGGATGGGGGCTAATAAGGTGGTCCGGAAAACGGAGAAAGTATGCAATTATTGGGTGCAAGGGAACTGTAGTTACGGCGATAGGTGTAAGTTTCTACATTCCTGGAGTTTAGGGGAAGGTTTTACCTTGTTGAATCACCTTGATGGGCACCAGAAAGTAAGTGTCTTTGCCTTTCTTTTTTCTTTTGTGGTGCTAATTTGATATGAACTTCTCCAGAACCACACTACAAATGCTAGTTATTAGGTGGGTAGATTGTGCATTCATATGAATCTCACTAGAAATAACAAACTTCCCATGTGGAATCAAATCTGTACGTTGCAATTAAGACATACCAATTCACCATTTGCATTAGCTTAACCTTTGGAGAAGTGCATCTAAAAGCTAACTGTTAGAGTGGGCGAGCCTTAGTCCATGTAAATCTTACAAGAAAATCTCATAATTTAGATGGGTGGATTTCTATGTTTCAGTTTGGAACATAACATATTCATAGGAGTACGAGATTGTGTTGATGATGGTGAGTTTGTTTTGTTGGCAGGTTGTTACTGGAATTGCGTTGCCAGCAGGTATGGATAAGCTCTATACAGGGAGTAAAGATGAGACTGTGAGGGCTTGGGATACCAACACTGGTCAGGTATGATTAGCTTCGTTTCTTTTTAATGGAAAATTGCAGTTTTATTTAGTATTTAGCTTTTTGAAAGAAAAAGGTGATTTATGTATCTCTCCAAACTTGATGCGTTGTAATCAATTTCAATAACAAGGAATCTGCATTAAACTGTTCTGAAAATTTTATCCTGTCCTGCTTGGTAGAGGTGTCCATGTGAAAGATCAGTTAACTGGAAGGCTACTATTTTTGTTTCTATGGAATCACTAAAGTGTTAAATACCCAATGGATCATGCAGACTACCTACTGTTTCATTATGTTGTGAAAGTGAAACAAGATTATCTTTTTGCTAGAAATTACTTTTAGTCTTCTTGTGCTAGTGTTTGTTGGCAATTTTTTAAATTATTATATTTTTGTCTGATTTTCCCTGTGGCCTTCAATGTAGTGTATGGGTGTTCTTAATCTTGGTGGTGAGGTAGGTTGCATGATCAGTGAAGGTCCTTGGCTTTTTGTTGGCATACCTAATGTAGTTAAGGTAATATACGAGGCAAGTTCTCTACGAACTGTTTCTTTTTATTACTGTTGTCGTATTTGAATTTAGAAGAATGGCGATTTCCCATTTCTGACTCAATGGCAACCATTTTTGCAGGCATGGAACACCCAAACTAACCAAGAGCTCAGTCTTAGTGGACCTGTTGGACAAGTTTATACTATGGTTGTGGGTAATGATTGGCTCTTTGCTGGCACACAGGTAATATACTAAATATTAGTATATTGTTATGGCTTCTTTTCATTTAAATTTCATGTTCTGCTTGTGGTCAGTCACGTATCCATCATCATGTTTCCTGTTTTGGGTTCTGCCACTGTATTTTGCGACAATAACTCATTAATTGAGGCAATTTTCTTTTTTGTAGTCTGACATTCATCACCTTATAAAATTGTCACTTATCTTGAAAGATCTGTAATATGTGAAATGAGCTTTTTCTAAAAGAGCACTGGGTCAAAATTGGGGATTTCTGCTGAGCGAATCTCAATCTGGGTCATGTTTATGCAATACTCATAGCATTTAATACTATATCTCTATTTCTGTAGCACTTCAGTCCTGATCCTCAGGTAACAATATATGTTTATCGCAGGATGGTACTATTTTGGTATGGAAATTTAATGCCGTCACCCACAGCTTTGAACCAGCAGCATCGCTTAAGGGTCACACCCTTGCAGTTGTGTCATTAGTTGTTGGAGCTAATAGACTATACTCTGGTTCCATGGACCATTCTATAAAGGTAAGGTAGTTTAAATCATCCTGAATCTCTGATTGATAAGTATTGTAGTTTCAAACCACCATTATATCATGTTTTACTTTATTCCTTTAATTTCTTTTTTTTCTTTCATAGAAAGTTATCGGTTTTGCTAATATATTAGTTGTTTTCTTTCAGGCCTGGAGTCTAGAAACTTTGCAGTGTCTACAGACTTTGACAGAACACACTAGTGTTGTGATGTCGTTGCTTTGCTGGGAACAATTTCTTTTATCTTGCTCATTGGACCAAACAATAAAGGTTGGTGCTATTTTATGATTTATTTTATATTTTGTATTTGTTTCCCTTTTTCTGCCTAAAGTTCTTTGAATTTATGTTTTTTTGTGCAGGTGTGGGTAGCTACTGAAAATGGAAACTTGGAAGTCGCATACACCCACAATGAAGAACATGTATGTTGTTTGTTTCATACAATATGCAAGTTACTTCTGATTTGATGCAATTAGCAGTTAAAAGCAAAGGGGTTTGAGGTCAGAATGGGGGGAACTAAGGGACTGAATGTCAGATCAGTGATGGTCTTTGCTTTTTAATGTTAGTTATTAGAGGTGTCAGTGACAGAAGAATAGGGTGTAACTGTGGGTAGTGAATATTGAAAGTGAAGATAATGATCGAGGGAAGGGAATACTACTTAGCTTTTTTTGATGTGTTAGAAAGAGTTCTATGCTCTGCATTTTAATTTTGAAATTAAGTTAGGGGGCAAAGTTTTTGGGAGAATGGTTGCAATGGAGAAGAGGATAGTTTATTTTGAGAGGATTTTGAGGCTGTAGAATATGCATGATTAAACAGTTTGATGTAAATTGCAAGATGATTACATATAGCTTAGAAATATGCATGATCAAATTAATATTTCCAAGTTTCATATGTAATTAAACAGTTTGATGTAAATTGCGAGATGATTACATGCAGGATGGAATTTAATGTGTAGTCAAGGTTTGTTTGAGAAGTTTCTAGGAGGTTTTATGAGTCAAGATAACTTGATCTTCAATATCCATTGCATCTATTCTAGGTATAAACATTGTCAAAGCTTTAGATTTGTTCACAGTAGCGCAAAATGCAAATGTCTCTAGTTTTTCTTGTTTATCTGGTGGTTTAATTCCCAAACAAAATTAAGGAAGATTTTCATGTAGTAAATGAGGTCAACTATGTCTTTTAGCTCTTAACCCCCTCGGTTTACTTCCTAGGATCTTGGGATGTTATTGAACTGTTGGTTGCTCTTTTTAGGGGTTGTTGAATCTTCAAGGAATGCATGACTCGGAATCCAAGCCTGTTTTGCTGTGTGCATGCAATGACAGTTCTGTCCGCCTCTATGATCTGCCCTCGTAAGTTATTAGGGACTTGCTTTTTATCTTAGTACATGCATCTATTTGTTGTATCACCATTTTGGGGTTATTTCATGCTTCTTATTGGAATACCATTTTTCTATCCTTACGATTGAATTGAAGGTTCTCGGAGAAGGGTAAAATTTTTGCCAAGCAAGAGATTCGCGCAATTGAGGTAGGCCCTGGTGGCTTATTTTTCACTGGTGATGGAACTGGTTTTAGAGTGTGGAAGTGGACAGAACCGGTTCCCAAGCCCTGATGTGTTCCAGCATTCCACAACATATGCATCGATTGACTATGTATTTTTGGTGTTATTATTTTATTTCTTCTCATCCTTAACTTTTGGGTGGGGTTTCGAGCTTGCGGGAGAAATTTCTGAGTTAAAACAAGTACTAGGTTCCTGGTGTAATGTTTAGTAGCACCAAGCCCTGCACCTTGGTGAATGGCATAAAGATCATATGATAATTCATAAATTTGTAGCAGTCATTGAATTGAAATTTTAGATGGTTCCTGCCTTGGATGAAACAACATTCCTCCCTAACTTTGCCCTTGTGCTGTTTGTTGTTTTTGCCCTTCTCTGAATGTTCTACTTTCTCGGTAATCGGAATCAACTGTGCAGTTCAGTTTATTAAATTGCCGGAGCACAATTTTGGCCGGTAAATAAATTTGTAAGTTAATATGTGCATCTACTACACTCCAGTCTCACAACGTTAAATAAATTTGTAAGTTAAATTATATCCTTTTTTTCAAATTAGTGCTTATAATTTTTTTCGATCAATTCAGGTGTCGAACATAATAAATGTTATTATTTTAACTATCTCAATCGCAACGATCGTTAAAAAAATTCGTTAAGTGATATGTCACATCTATATAATTTTGAATTTTTTAAAAAATAATAAGAAAACTTAAAATTTTAAAAAAAATCCTAAAATTTTCTCAAATCTTTAAAAAGAACTTAAAAATTTGAAAACTCTAATTCCAATTTTTATACCTATGTTGTTTGTTGCCCTTTACCCATCGATCAAATCATCTAATAACAAATCATTTGGCGAACAATCACCAACGTTACGATTTACCGAAAAAAAAATAACGTTTGTAATATTAGACACTTAGATTAATTAAAAAAAATTTAGGCACCAATTTAGAAAAAAAACAATATAGATTAACATTTATTTTATATTAAGCTTATAAGTAAATAAAATTATGATATATTTAATTTAATTATTAAAAAAAGTCATATAATTATACCATTTTGAAAAAGATAGATACCATTTTTTATCATTATTAACGTTTTAAAAACTTAGATAATATGTAAAAATTAGATCTCAAAAAGTTGCATTTGCCATGGAAAAGAGTAAAAAATGACTTGCTAGTCAATTTCTAAACCACAATCCAGCAAAGCAATGACATCACACACCAAAGTTCACACCTTTAAGATGAATACAACTATCGTCGTCGTGTACATCCCACTGTATGTACCTTAATCTACCCACTTCATCGTCTCTGCTGCTTGCCCCGCGATCCCTTCAATGGCTATCAAGGCCGAGCTGGTGTTCATCCCAATGCCTCGGATGGGCCATTTCCTATCTATGGTCCAAGTGGCTAAGTTTTTGGTGGATCTCAATCCCCACCTCTCCATTACCTTCCTCGTCCTCAAGCTAATCCCCGACGCCAAGCTCGACGCCTACCTCCACTCTCTCACCTCTACCGCCACTACCGGCATCAAATTCATCGACCTCCCTCAACCTGAAACCGACAAACATCTTACTCCCGCCGATCACATCAGGGTCTTAGTGCAAAAACATGGGCCATTAGTGAAAGAGGCTGTCACCACCAGTATAGTTCAGTACTCCGGCTCAGTTCCTGACTCTCCTCGACTCGCCGGGTTTGTTCTCGACATGTTTTTAACTCCTTTCATAGATTTGGGTAACGAGTTCGGTGTTCCTAGCTATGTATTTTATACATCGGGTGCTGCTTTTCTTGGGTTTCAGTTCTATACACTAGCTCTTCACGACGAGCAAAATGTTAACATCGTAAGAGAGCTAAGAAAAGCCAACGATGTTTCCCACTGTTTTGCTCAAATCTGAATCTGTCTATGGTGATTAACTTGGTAAGAGAGCTAAGAAAAGCGAAGGGAATAATGGTAACCACATTTTTGGAGATCGAATCACATGCCCTCGGTTCGCTTTCTGACGGTAAGGTTCCACCCGTTTACCCGGTGGGGCCTATATTGAATCTCGAGAGCTCGAGTGATGTTCATCAAGGCTGTGATATCATTCAATGGTTGGATGTGCAACCACCTTCGTCAGTCGTGTTCCTCTGTTTCGGGGCGGCGGTAGCTTCAATGGGGATCAGGTGAAAGAGATCGCCTGCGCGTTGGAGCAGAGTGCACACCGGTTCTTGTGGTCACTACGCCAACCTCCAGACCCATCCAAGGGTCCATTGGCAGCCCCAACCAATTACGACGACTTGTCGGAGGTCCTACCAGAGGGGTTTTAAGAGCGGACGGCTGGCGTAGGTAAGATCATTGGTTGGGCGCCGCAGGTGGCAATCTTGGGCCACCCGGGAATCGGAGGGGTCGTATCCCATTGCGGGTGGAATTCAGCGTTAGAGAGTATATGGTTTGGAGTTCCGATGGAGACATGGCCGCTTTACGCGGAGCAACTACTGAACGCGTTTGAACTGGTGACGGAGTTGGGATTGGCGGTGGAGATCAAAATGGATTACAGGAAAGATGATGAAATTGTGAGGGCTGAAAAGATAGAGAAAGGAATCTAGTGTTTGATAGAGTTAGAGATGGCAACGGGTCGAGTATTGGTCTCTCGTCTTCATTTAAAAAATTCGTATTTGTTCCTATTTAAAAAACCGTAAGGATTTAAATGGGGATTTCCACCGGATAATCGGGGAAAACTACAGGAAAACGGATATCACCGTTTAGCATAAACGATTATTTAAACGGATATCGGGTCCGGTATATATATATATTTTAATTTAAATTAAATTTATTAATATTATATATATATATATAAAAGAATTATTTTTAATATTTATCGGGCCGGAGAGATTATCAAACCCGTCCCGTCCCCGTTTAACATAAACAATTTTTTTTCGTTCCTGTCCCCCTTTAGTATAAACGATTTTTTTCCGTCCCCGTTTAATTTAATTTTCCACGTTATATTTGGATTTTTTACCATCCCTATTAGAGCAGGACAGTGGTGTTAGGAAGAGGGTAAAAGAGATGAGAGAGAAGAGCAGGAAACCTTGATGGACGGTGGATCTTCCCGCTCTATGTTACATGATTTCATCACTGATGTCATAGCCAACATGCCTAAGAAGAATGAGTAGGATCGACAAAGAAAACATTATGATGTTTGGCGGATGCACTAAACCCTATAGGGTCAAGTGATCTCATTATTTTAGAGCAGTGATTAAATTTAAGTTAATATTAAAGAAAAAAGAAAAAAATTATAACTTCTGCATATCTATTACTTTTAAAAAAAGAAAATTAAAATTTTAGATCACTTCTTAGATTTCTGAATCTTTCTGGATCTACCACTGTTTGTAATCAACAATAACATTTAATCATCAATGTCTTCTTCACCAACCTCTCAATATGCTATTATTTTATTACAACATGCAATCTTACTTGTTGATAAACAGTTATTCTTTCTGTGTTGCTGGAAGTCACAGGTTAAACATGACTTTGATGGCGCTGCCGCCTCCGGCACTGGTTTCGAAAGCTTCTTCCACTTCTTTCCGAGAAAACCCAAACCGGTGGGTTATGAGAGGTTTCAAATCAATCTTACCACTTCTTAGAAACTCGAAGCACAAAGGCCATGCGTTCCGATACCGGAAGATTCCGATAACATCAACCTCCCTGCATTTTTAACCATCATCCTGTGAGTGATGTTTGAACATATTACAAAATACTCCTGAAATCATACATTTCATCTATGACTATACCCGAATTCTCCACAAATTATTGCAAAGCTTTCCCTGAAAACTCAACAAGTAAACCATGTTCAACACAGAATTTTCGTTGAGAATAAGTACCTTGCAGCAGCTGGAGTAAGTGGCACAGTCATCTCGTTATGGCCCATTCCCACAAGGCAAACCTTGCCACCAGCACGAGTTGCACTCAAAGCGGTTTTCATCGTTTTGTTAAAGCCTGCACAATCAAAGCTGACATCCACTCTTGCTTCCATTACCTTACATACTTTTTCAACTTCTTTAGGTACATCCTGTAATATAATGGAATTTGAACGTGAAACTCTCTACAAGAACGACAATGGAGTAAAGGATCCTCATGGAGTTATGTATTTGAAAAACTTTAATCTTAGTCCGAAGGAAAAAATGACATTTGAAACAATGATGATTCATTTCTTGGCATATTTTGATGGGGAAAAGAAGAAGGGACTTCAAGGATGTTACGAACCTGGATATCAGTTGAAACTTTAACAATCCCATCAGCACCGAGATTCTGGGCAACAGATAGTCAATTATCATCTACATCTACGATGACAATTCTAGGTGCCCCAAAAGCACGAGCCGCCATCATTGTAACGAGCCCTATAGGTCCTGCCCCCATAACCAACACATTTGTTTCTGGACCAATATTAGCTCGTCGACAAGTGTGAACCCAAACACTCAAGGGTTCACACATGGCTCCTTCCTCCAAGCTGACGTTGTCTGGCAGTTTGAAGCATAGATCAGCAGGATGCACAACCTACATTGGAAATCAACTTCAACATTACCTTAGTAGTCCTGAAGATTCAATTCCATTAAACTCATTTCGAATACATATAAAGAAAATGACCAACATGCACACAATATGCTTCTCATCACAGCCGCCTAATCTGATGTTATATATGAACACTAGCCAAACCTTCAAAACCAGCTAAACTATTGGATAAATCTCTCAGATCTATGCTAGCTTCGAAGATCACACAGGTATCTTTTATAACGCTTTTTTTCCGTGGAGAATGTGGTTCTTATACTCGACACAGAAGGAAAAGCCTTAGCTTGTTAATGTTGTGAGGTATCACATCAAGCATTTCTTTAGATGCAACTAAATGACATTCAGAACTACAACATATAATTAATGGAAACCACAACAGAAGCAACTAAATGAGTTGTTAACCGCAACAATTTTCGAAGCAAGGGTCCCAATTTACATTGACAATTTTACCCTTGAAGCCATTTGAATCAGTATCTCAAAAATCATTCATTCATAAATCTCCAAAATGAAAACGGAGACTTTTTGGATCAAGGTACCCAGATAAATATCAAGTCACTGTAATGGGTACACAACAGTCTTAAGTTTCAAACTCTCAATGGTTTATTTAATAAACATCATGTAGTCGGTATTGTAATTAGGTACTATAAACATGGTTTTTAGTAGCAAAATGGTGCACCAAAGAGTAAACTAGTACACATACTGAAATGCAGCTTAAAGGTTAACCTGATGAGCAAGAGAACCGTGAACTGGTGGGGTGGCGAAAAACTTCATTTCGGGGCATAGATTGTATCGACCTTCCTTGCAAAGATCACATCTCCAGCAACTGATCCCTGGTTCCAAAGCCACACGGTCTCCTGGCACTAAATGCTTGACTTCACTCCCGATCTCCTCTATGATTCCGGCACACTCATGTCCAATAACCATTGGTTCTTTCACCACAAAATCCGCACATCTCATTGTCTAAAGTAAATGAAAAGAATCACTAATAAAACTAATGGCAAAGATAAGAAAAAACAATGCAGAATTGATTTTAGTCCTTCACCTGATTCCTTTATCATTACCATTGTTTATAAAAGAGGGAAAATTTACTCGAGCCAAATGTTGTGATAAGACCAAAGTTCTGTCTTTTATTCATTTATTACAATTCAGTATCAAAGGGAAAGCTATACCAAATTATCAAAATCCGCTATATCATAGTAGAAACAATATCTGATTAATCTATATTAGAAGAACAAAGAATTTGGATGCAAAAAGGATATACCTTTAGGTAGTGAACATCACTTCCACAGATGCCAACAGCCTTCATCCTAACTCTGACATCATGGGGTCCTTCAAAAAATATTTACCATAAACACAAACATAAGAAATTAACCAACGAGAAACAAAATGAGCAAAAAAGGGCTATCTAAAACCTAGTCATACTTGATATGAAATCAACAAAAAGAACTCAGAATGTAAACATAAGATAATAAGAAAATGGTGAATGTAAATATAGGATGATATACCGAGCGGAGGGAGCTTGAAAGGTTGAATCTTGAGGGTGTTGAGACCCACAAGCCAAGCAGCCATGTTTGCATCAGATTTTGGATATATACAAACACATGTAGTGGATATATACAAACACATGTAGTGGATAGAATAAAAAAGATATGATTTTATATTCCAAATAATCGCTTTCAGCGGGTCCCTTAACATTTTGGAAGTTCTTCACGGATAGTGATATAGCGTAGGCTAAAATATTTGTTAAGACCAATTCAAATATATATATATATATATTTGATAAGAAAAAAATGGGACTAAAATAACAGTAGCATATAAACCACAGAACTCTTTTTCTCTATGCAGTTTAGGCTAATGTAGGGAAAAGAGCGAGAGCGAGAGCGAGAGCGAGAGCGAGAGCGAGAGCGAGAGCGAGAGCGAGAGCGAGAGCGAAATTAACTGGAGAAATTAATTTTCTCAAATTAATTGGAGAAATTAATTTTCTCAAATTAATTGGAGAATTAGGTGGTTTTAACCGTAACATTAAAGTTATTGACAGCTATTGATAATTTTGGCCTAATTTTTTTCTTTCAATTTTCAGACTAAATTGAAAAAAAAATAAAAGTATAGAGATTAAGATGAAAACTTTAAAAATTGATTACTTGATTAGTTAGTATAAGGAAGAAAATTTAAAAACAAAACTAATAATTTGTTGCAACAATTAAAATTATTATGTTTTACAATAAGTTTTGTAAGCTTAAAAAATTCATATGACCGAATACCCATAGTTAGAGGTGTATTCGATTAAAGAGGAAAAAAAGAAGCTAAACTAACGATTAAAAAGTATTGCATAAGAGGTCATGTAGATTGCAAGGTTGCAGAGTCCAACTAGAAAACTCTGTACGCTAAGTGTGTTAAATATGGGCCCGAGTGTAAGTGGCTGATCAGAGTGTCCAAAATGCAGAGCAGGATGCTTGGGTCATCACAAGGTATAATGGTCCACACACATGTTTGCAAAACTCTATCGAACAAGACCACCGAATACTAGACTCCGATGTAATATGTCAATATGTGAAGGTGTTAGTTGAAAAAAATTCAAGGATCCCTTGCTTGGTGTTAGTTGCATCTATTCGAGACCAGTTTAGATACAATGTAAAATACAAACCCGTTTGGCATGCAAAGGAGAAGGCAAGGAAGATGATATATGGCGATTGAGATACATTATACAATCCTTATTTGTTACAATCTATGAAACAATTCATACCTGGAACCATCGTGAAGTCTCAGACCATGCCTGCATACAACCGAGAAGATCAACTTCTTCAAGGAAAGAGAATATTCCATAAACTCTTATGGGCATTCAAGTCATGCATAAAAGGTTTTCCATTTTGTAAATGTATGGTCCAAGTAGATGGTACGTGGTTATACGGTCAATACAGAAATATATTATTGATAGCAGTTGCGCAAGATGGTCAACGAAATATATTCTCAATTGCATTCGCCATCGTTGAAGGAGAGACGAAAGAGGCTTGGGACTTCTTTCTGACTAATCTACGTAAGTATATCGTCCGAGAAGATGGAGTTTCCTTGATATCCGATCGAGGAACAAGCCTTTTGGCAGCAATTGAATGACCGAAAGTCATTGGACACCTCCGCACGCATATCTCGCATATTGTATCTGTCATATTGGTAATAATTGTATTGAGAAGTTTCATAACGACTATATTCGTAGGGAGATAGTCAGCATGGGTAAGTTTTATTTTCAGCATTTGTACCCATTTATGTGTTTGCTTATAAATTAACTTTAACACAATATATATTTTGAAACATGATATGAACTACGCCAACCAAATTTTGACAAGAGATTTGAGGATTTGAAGGTCATAGATGAGCGCGTTTGGAAGTGAGCGTCAAAAATCAAGTGGGAGAAGTGGTCGCAAGCATACAATGGTGGTCGGCGATACAGACACATGACTACAAACCTTGTTGAGGCCATTAACTCAGTACTAAAAGGTACACGCCATCTCTCAATAACGAGTGTGGTGAAAGAGACATACTTTAGGTTGGCTAAAGTTTGGTCTTATAAAGGGAAAGAGATCGAGTGTATGATAAATCGAGCAAAAATCTGGGCTCTGACGGTGGTAGAAGCAATGGAAGCAAATGAGCGTATGGCAACCTCAATGTTTGTTCATGACTTCGATCTAATTGGACATATTTTTGTTGTCATCGTATGCATACGTTGCAACGAAGGAGCAAATCGATAATCATTTATAGTTAATTTATGACAAAGATGGTGTGATTGTGGCCACTTTCAGGTGTGGAGATATCTGTGTGCTCATGTAGTCACTGCATGTATGCATACTGGAATAAATTCATACACTTTATGTTGATGAGTGCTTTCACCTACAGAGGATATTAAATATATACAGCCATGAGTTCAAACCGATCCCAAATGAATCTTATTGGGAGAATCGACATTATGATGAATGGTTGCCAAATTCATTGCTTCGTAGAAATTTGACGGGTTGACCTAAATCTACTTGTATTCATACCAGTATGGATATCCATATTAGAGAGAAATGTCAACCGAAGAGATGTGGATTATGTAGAGGTGAAGGTCATTTAAATAGAAATTATCCAAACCTTCCATGGTACAAACCTCACTAGCAATCTTATTTCTATTTGAACGAATAATTAAATTTCTTGCGCCAATACCCCATTATCGGCAAGCGAATGAACGATTGGCAACATCAATGTTTGTTCATGAATTTGATCGAATTGGACATACTTTTACTGTCATTGCATGCCTATGTCGTAATGAATTTGATCGAATGTTTTTAAATGATTTAATGATTTAATAATTAATAATAATGAAATGATTTAATGCTATTGATTTAATAATAATTACTAATAATGATTTAATACTAATGATTTAATACTAAAGATTTAATAATAATATTTAATAATTTAATAATAATAATTTAATTATTTGATACTAATGATTTAATAATGATTACTAATAATGATTACTAATAATGAATTTATAATAATTAGTAATAATAATTTAATAATGAATACTAATAATGATTTAATAGTAATTTAATATTGATTATTTAAGGCATTTTTGCTGATTATTCACATTCCCGTGAATAATATTAATATTTTTATATTTAATTATTTTTATTTTAATATTTAAATGAAATCTTTAATTTTATATTTTAATATTTAAATTAAATATTTAATTTTTATTTTAATATTTAAATATAAAATTCATTGTACCATCAACGTTAATAAATCTAAATAAATTCCACATCAACTATTCAAGGTTGCTAACAAATTTAAGATCAAAGAACATAAACGATATATAAATATATCTCATTTATTTAATATAATTCAAATATATAAAGTGTTTACTACTATTGTCGATGTCGGGGTGTTGTTTAATAATAATGTTGAGGCTCATGTCGGTTTCGTTGTGGTCGTTGTACTTTTTCAGGAGTTTGTTCATCATAACCAACCTGCTCATTCACCGAGGACATATGATCCGGTGTTGTAAATATATGCCCACCACCACTATTCTCTCCCATATGAGGACAAATACTCGTAGTTGACATCATAGATGTCATCTGATCAAAATCATATGTTGCCCCAAACATGGGAGAGAACATGGGTGATTGATGAGGAACAAGTTGAGGAGTGTAGGGCGTAACACCAGAATCACCAAACACTTTATGAAATGATCCTGTGGGATCAAAAGATTCTGGTGGGATAGTATCCATTGCCTCTTGTTCTGCTCCATGGTGAGAAGAACTCTCACTCCCAGTCCTTCTTGGTTTCTTGGGTTTACCAAAATTTTTCTTATACTCTATAAATTGTCGTCTTTCTATATTCGTTGTCAAGAACGACTTTCCATGTTCCCAATAATAATTCATGTAATCTGAACTCTGGAAGTCAAAGTCATCCGCTTGTATGGGAGCGAGCATTGGCAAGTATGAATTCCTGTTGTTCCAATGATAGATATGGTTGCCATGCCTCACAGCCCAATCCTCACCGACCCTAACTCGCCCATCTAATTTTTAGAGAGAGTCATGATTCTCTGGAATTCCTGGAATAGGTTGGTGGAAGCCAAACTACCTCAACACTATAAAACAAAATTATATAGTTATTAATTAATTAGTTATAAAATTCAACTAAATAAATAAAAAACAATAATAGAAACATAATAAAAAATAAATTCGCTAATTAATTATATATATACCTCAACTTTGCATTTGATGTCCATCTTAAATGTAAACTCTTTCACATTATTGTGTGCCAACCTCGTTCCTTCTATTTTATGCCTCCATCTGTATACCAATCAAAATAAAATTCTCTAATTATTTTTCCTTTACAAAATATTCTTTAATTAATTTAAGATAAAAATTTTAAATAAAACAATTACCTTCCGGCAAGAGGAAAGTCAATTGCAACTCGTCTAATCGATGTTAACCATGGAATTCTGTGTCAGGCCCACGATTGTAATAACATCATACATCCACCGATTTCAGTCGTATACGCATTATTTACAAGTAATGATGCCTTGTACATCTCGCGATACAAGAATGCCAATATTACTGATCCCCAACTATACTGATGGGTAATAAAAAAGTTACCCAAAAACAGAAGATATTGTATATGGACAAGATTACTAGATTTATCCGGCATCAAGATTCCCCCGATCAACCGTAATATATATGCTCGAGTTGCATATATAGTGTCTTGCTCAGTACAATAAAGATCGAGCTTAAACTCATTTACCAACCAGGATAATCTCACCCGTGTCCCTTTTGTTAATGTTTTTTCCGATACCTTCCTAAGGTCCCCACATATTGTAAACACGTCATGATCATTATTTCTCATCACTGCCATTCCATTTGTAGGCACCCCAAGTTGTAAAGCCACATCCTCCAAAGTGATCGTACATTCACCACATGGAAGATGAATTGAATAAGTTTCTGGTCTCCACCGTTCAATTAATACACTGATCAAACTGGGGACCAACCTAAATTCTCTTACAAATGCCACATCGTAAAAGCCCACCATTTTTAAATTATC